TTTTTCACCAAATCTTCTTTCTTTTGGATAAGTTAAGTAGCATTTCTATGGTGGGTTTCAGATATTTACTAACTTTTCTTTTTTTTTTTTAATAGAAGTAGACTATTTTACTATTGGTTTAGGTAAATCTACAAATTGGGATGGTAGTTTTTTTAGGTTTTTACTAATTTTTTTTCTTTTTTTAATAGAAGTGGATTTTTTTACTATTGGTTAATGTAAGTCTACAAATCGAGATGGTAGTTTTTTTAGATTTTACTAATTATTTTCTTTTTTTAATAGAAGTAGATTTTTTTACTATTGGTTAATGTAAGTCTACAAATCGGGATGATAGTTTTTTTAGGTTTTTGCTAATTTTTTTTTTAATAGAAGTGGATTTTTTTAAGGTAAGTCTACAAATCGGAATGGTAGTTTTTCAGGTTTTTACTAATTTTTTTTTTTAATAGAAGTAGACTTTTTTACTATTGGTTAATATAAGTTTACAAATCAGGATGGTAGTTTTTTCAGGTTTTTACTAATTTTTCTTTTTTTTAATAGAAGTGGACTTTGTTGCTATTGGTTAAGGTAATTCTACAAATCGGGATGGTAGTTTTTCTTTTTTACTAGAAGTGTACTTTTTTTCTTATTAAATATAGTAAATAATTAAATTTAATAAATTTGTAACAATCAGAAGTTTATTGTTATAAATGTATTTTTCTTATAATTAAAGTATTATATTAATGTAAATCATATCAATAATAAAATTTTTTTATTGTAATTAATCGGAATTACTTACTTGTATAAAATAAACAATTATAAAATTACCTGTATTATAAAAATTTAATAAAATGTTACTAATCAGAATATGCTATTTGTATAATAAGTAATAATAAGAATATCCCAATTGATGACTTAGGAATAACCCGATTGGAAACCGGATGTTAATAAATTGATATCAATAAGAATAACCCTATTGATATCTTTATAACACTTCGATTGGAACCTTATTGTATCCTATCTGTGCCATTAATCATCATCAATCGGGATCACCTGATTCTAAAAAACAAAAAAATAGGGAACCAATCAGATTAAATCTGACAACCCAGATTTGACCTGATTGGTCACCTATTTATTATCATTTGACTAGTGTATAAAATAGTTGGAAGAGAGATTTCATGAAAATTTTTCTAAATGACCATTATATTATAGATTTTGACATCATTGTTCACCTGAAACGGAAGCCAAATAAGTGAACTGCAAATATCGAACATGCGACTCTCAAAGGCCTCAAAAAATATATATGCAAAATGTATCAACTACCTGCACTTGAAAATGATAGGGCAGAACTCAACTTAATGAATGATAGAGAGAAATATTTCCCTCATAATGATCAAGACCTTCATGAGATGCTCTGCATATTCATATCAAAGAACAATCTCAAGTTTATTGTATTTATAGAAATACCCTCAAAAGCTTTCTCAGATTAGACTTTCCCAAAAGTGTGCCAGCTTTATGAACTCTGTGAATCAGAGGATCCTTCATTATCTGTCTTTTCGCCTTTCACTTGCGGGATCAAAGATCTGAAAGATGATTCTTTTCAGACGATACTTAAACATCTTATAGCTGAATTAAATGCCCGTCTCAAGTCTATTCCAATTAGCAGAAATGAAATATCAAAATCACAATACGTATGTTCTTACCTTGTTGCTGAAGCGAATCTATACGAAGGGAAGTTTGAGCTTCAATCAGAAAAAAATATCACAGGGCCTAATAGACACAGACTAGTTAATTTTGCAATAGATTTACTATAAATAGCAAAAACTGCTGGCATGACAGAAGTAAAGGATGAAGATTTTTTCAAGAGTATTGCTCAGAATGCCGTTCAGCTCAAGTTAGTTTTATCAAACTGTAAACGTAAGGTGAGTGAGATGGAGGAAGATAGTGTGTTCGTGGATAAGGTATTCAGAATTGTTACAGATGTGAAAAAATAGTATTTTTTAAAATATTCACTCGATGATCAAAACAGGCTAAGATTCAAACTATCAGAGCTGGTGGTCATTATTTATAAGGACGAGAATATGGAAAACATGGTTAGAAAAGTTCTCAGGTATATTACATGGTTGTTGGAGAAGATGCAGAAGCCAGATTCTGATTTTCGAAGTGAAGAAAGGGTAATAAAAAAGCATAGATCAGTGAGCAACCTTACAGATAGTGTAGTTAAGTCTTAACATAGAAAATTTATGTATCACAGACACAGTCTCAAACATTTGTATTTATTTTTCGAATGTAAATTAAAAAATTTTCTTGGCAAATTTTAGTGAACTCAGTTCACCTAAAATCACATATTTTTATTTTGAATGCTTATATACAGTGTATTAGTTATATATAGATCATGTCATCTGAGCTTGAATCATTAAAACAGCGTATCACTGAACTTGAGGCTAAGAATGCCAAGCTTGAGGCTGAGAATGTAGAGCTTACATCACTAACTTTTCAAGCAGTCCAGTGACTGTTTTTAGTCAAAATCATAAGGCATTCGTTAAAATTTTAACTTAAAATTAATGTGGATGCCCATAATTTATGTTCATTGACTGTTAATTTATATGTTATTCATTAAACAGTATATTTATCATATATAAAGTCAGTTGTTAGACAAAACCGATTTATAAAATATAAAATATTATGTAAATTTTATGGAACAGTCCAAAATCCATTTTATAAGATTAAATTTACTTATATTTTTTTCTTATTTATTTGTATAATTATTAAAAAATTTAAAATGAGCAAAAGAAAAAAATAAAAAATTTATTAAGCTAATATATTTATTTTTATATATATATATGACATTATATTACTATTGTAGTTTATTTTCCAGTAAAATCAAGTTATGAGATATAATAAATCATATGATCTATAATGTGATTTTACTGGCAACGCTTCCATTTATTAAGCTAGTATATATATATATATAATATCATATTGCATCATTGCTATTTTAAAATTTTTTTTTTTTAAAAAAAATTCTCTCGCTCAACTTTAACGAAAAATATTTTTTACTTTACTTAAATAAATCTATTATTTAAAAAAAGATAAATATTAAAGAAAATAAATCTAAAATGGGTCATAATCATGCAACTAACAAAATTCAAGATAACCAAGACTTTAAAAAAATAAAAAAAAATCAAATTAAGAAAATCTAAATTACTAAACATTAGAAGTAAGTAAATAAGAAATTTATATTGATAATGATATGGTTTTAATAATTTATTAATTAAATAAGTTCTACCCTATATAAATAATTTTATAGAATAAAATCATAATAATATTTTAATAGAAAAAAACTTACCTTTGAATATTGAATCTAATAAAAATATTTCGTTGAATATTGAAAATAAAGATCTAAATAATATATTATCATTTTTCAATAATGCTACTCTTATTTACAATATTTCAGATATTGATATTGTGATGAATATCAAAAAACCACAAACAATAAAGAAGGTATTTAAAATATATCATCAATTTTTTTATATTTTTATATAAATATTAAATTTTTTTTATTAC